GCTACACATTTGCCCAGATTTCTGCAGGGAGCAACCTCTTGAAACTCAGTGCTGGGCTCCTGAGTGGAACTCAACCTGTCATCTGCGACCACAGGGGTCGTGACAAGCATCCCTCATTGAGCTGGGGGTGTTTGATGAGGGGTGGGAACCTCCCAAGCCTGGCTTCCAAATGCTCCACACAACACCCTACAGCCACCTGGCCAACCTGGCACCTACCTCACTTACCAGATGGCATCAGAGGGCACCTCTGCCTGGTGCTGCCCAGGAAGGGCAAGGGCACTCCTCATACCTATTCCCAGCTGCCCCGCAACATCAATCCTGGTATGTGGGGTCCAGCAGTGCATCTGTGCTACAGGTTGGCTCTGGCCAAGGCAAACACACTGGTGTATGAGGCAGTGCCTGTCTTGTGCTGCCCCAGCGGCCACTATCTAGTGCCAGCCTTCCCAGGCCAAGCACCTTGTGTCCATATTCTCCTACTTTGTGCTCATGAGTGCCACTGGTGACCAGGTATATGGTGCTGCCATGCAGTTCTATGAGGCATTTCAGGGGCCAGGCTGTCGGAGTGGCAGATTCAGGTGCCGGGGTCGCTGAGTGCTGTGGAGTGGGGCCTGTGAGCCATAACTGTGCTGTTCCACTGTCCTGCCAGCCTGCTTTCCTTGCCTTCCCTGCCTTCCTTGCCTTTCTCTACCGCTACCATCTCAGGCCCCACTGCCTCCCCTTGGAAGTGAGCATCTCCCATTTCATTCACCCTTCCCCATAGAGACCCCAGATGCTGACCTGGATGATTTGACTGTCTAGATGGTAAGCTCAGCCACCTCTGGGCCCTCAGGGCCTGAACAGGGTCCAGAACACATTAGGTACTCAGAAAATATGTGCTGACTGGCTGAATGAATGAATGAAAAAGAGAAAGAGAGAGAGAATGTCCAAGTTTGGACTCTACCAAAGCAAACTCAAATACGAGAGTTCGAGTAGAGATAATTTATTTGGGATTCCAGGAAGTAGAGGGGGGACACAGGCAGGAAAAGGAGAAGCCAATACAAGTTATTAGTTATCCAGTATCACTGAGTCTTCTTGAAATCAGCCCAGGCTGGATGGAGGTCACATGACTCATTCTAGTCAACAAACATGAGGGAGGCAGTTTCCAGGTGAAATCATTTAACTGCAGAAGCCAGACTCCACAACACCATCTCCTCTTCCATCATCCTGAGACAGAGGTGCTACTAGCTGGCAGTATCCCCATTGGCATGGATCCCTGCATGACCATGTGGAGAAGCTCACCCTGCTGATCAGCACTACACATGCAGCATGAGTGAGAAATGAGCCTTTGCTGTGTTACACCAAGACGCTCTTTGTGGCTGTTTGTTGCTGCAGCATAGCTTGACTATTAATCAGAAGCGAAAATCTTAGCTTCTCCAATCCACCTATGAATATTAACTTTGATATGTCAACTACATTGGGTTAAGAAACACTGAGAGGGTTAGTAGAGCACACTCCTGGATGTGTCTGGGTAGATTATGGAGACGTGATCTTGAGAACTATATCTGGCCCCCTGACCCTTCCTCTCTGGCACTGTCCACCAGCTCTGCTTCCCAGCCACCATGAACCAAGCAGCTTTGCTCCGTCACACCCTTCTGCTATGATGTTCCTGCCTCAGAGCCTGCTGACCATGGACGGTAACTGTGAGAAAAAAAACCTCTCCTTCTTCATGTTTTGGGTATTTGATGTTGTGTCTCACTGACAAGAAAGCTGACTAATACCTGCCTCATCTCCCTGCTCCCATTAAAAGAATGGGCTTGGTAACCCCACTGGGCAAACAAAATTTAGCCCTTAGCTGCAAAGGAGTCAGAACAAGAAGGCATCTCTGAGATCATGGGGCTGAGAGTTGTGTTCATGTCCATCAGAAGTCACACTCTCTTCTTACAACAATTATTTGTGACAGCCCCATCACTCTCTTGAGGTAAAGTAGTACTATGACCCACTTACATACAACCTTTCAACACTAATAATACACTGTCCTAACTATGGAATATAAAAGAATGCTACAGCTCTATGTGTACCATTGTCACACCTACACCAGACAGTGTAAGAAAGCAGTTAGGCAGTTCTTATTTACCATGAGTAAGTTTGGCAGTCACTAATGGAGAACTGAATGTACGTGTGACATTTCGTACCCCACTGGACAAGTATCTTGAACATGACATCTGCATGTGCAATGGCCCCAGGGGGAATGGTGACACAAACGTCACAAACAGCATGGCTGCTCGTGCCAGGATTTTCCAAAATGATGGAGGCTTGGGAAGGTTCCAGCTGAGGAGGAAGGATCTGGGGAACCTGGTCCCATAGTCACTGAGTAGAAGCTGCTCCTAGTGGCTGCTAATTGCCCAGAATTGTCCCTAGGTGCAGGAGGACACCCTGGACACACAGGGGTGCTATGCTGGCAGCTGAAAGTGCTCCCCCCCCACACACACTAACAGCAAGGTCTTGGGGAGGAAGCCCATGGCTAGAACCTTCTCTCGTGCCCATGGCAGATGACAGACAATCAGAGTGCAGGCTAGGAAAGGGACCACAGGCAGCAGAAGTGGCACAAAGGTCCCCAAGAGAACCAAAAGCCAGGATGGCCACACTGAGGCTTATTAATGGTGCACTGCTCAGGGAAGGCTCTGCTTCTGAGAGTTCTGGGCTCAGCCCCATCCCCATGAGCCCTGGTCATGTCAGCATCCTGACCCCAAGAAGCCTGGGGCTGGGCCCTTAGCTAGGTCTTCAGAGCATAGCATGGGGTCCTTGTTTCTGCTGGTATATTTAGGATGAGCCCCACTGCCGAGTCATGGAGAGTCACTCTGTGCTGTTCCACCACGGAGGCTGTCTCCAGGGTCTGTGTCTAGAACTGAAGCTTGGGAGATTGTCTGTCCCCTCATCATTCTCCAAAAAGGAAGAGGATGAGGAATGATTGCACAGACCCCCCTCCTTGGTTCTGTGCCATCTCTATAAAGTTCATTCAAATCAGTACCCACAAGCTATGAGAGAGGTACTGTAGCCTTATTGTCTCTAGGTCACAGATAAGGAAACAGCACAGAGAGGTTCTGTGATTTTCCCAAAGGCACCCAGTAAATGGCAACACCTGGGAGGGCTCCACTCAGTCCTACTGCCCCCAAACCTTGACTGTACTGTCTCTAATCGCTAAGTAACATTGCCTCTTAATTAAATCAGTAAATCAGTAACTAAACTTCATCCTGCTATAATTGAGGGATACACACTCTTGCTTCTCAGTCACTCTAAGCCTCTGGCCCTGTGTGAGACAGAGCCTGAGCCTATGTTGGTGCTAAGAGCAGGTTTTTGGAGTTATACCTGAGATCAAATGCTAGCTCTGTCTCTATCCAGCTGTATGACCTTGGCAGTTGACTTGCCCTCTCTGGGCCTCCTGGAGACCCATAGACTGAACAGAATAAAGGGTGGCATGCTTGCAGAGAGCAAACTGTTACTATGGCCTTGAGGCTTTGGATAGAGTCACCTGGACACCAGTGACTACCTGCAGCTGCTATGGATCTGGGAGTCCAGCTGGACCCCACCTCTAGAATCAATGCAGCTCCAAGTTAGGGGACTGTGTGTGGTCCAAGGAAGGAGGGCACGCTGACACACACTGTATCAGCCTCCCTGCAAGGCTTGACGCCCACTCTCTGGGAGCCTGTCTTGGGCCATCTTGGTGCCGCCTGGTGCTAGTAGTACACAGTAGGTACTCAATAAGTGTCACCATGGCCGGCTGACCAGCATCGGGAATAAGAGCGTCAGGTGGGCCGACCACACCTTCAACAGCCCATGAGCATATCAAAAGGGGTTTGGAGCCAGCCCTGAATGTGGCAAAAGCTGTGGCATCGAGGCAATGAACATCTGTCCTCTTGGCCCCAGTTTCCCTCTCTGCACACCAGAATCATCATCACCTGTCTGTGCTCTCAGCCCCGCAGCAGCTCTGGAGACAGCTATTACTGTTACCATTGCTGTGGCAACTGCTATCGCTGCTGTTGCTTTCCTTGCTACTGTTTCCAGGGGCTTGTTGTCCCAGGTGAGCGCATCACAGTGGGCTCAGGCCACTGTTCTGGAGCTAGTCCTCAGGCATCGGGCTCAGGTCTCAGCCCTTCTGCTTATCCATGTGGCCCTGAGAAGGGCCTCCTGCCTCTCTGAGCCTCAGTTTGCTCATCTGTTAAGCAGACTGATAGCCAGGCCTATCTCCTGGTGCTATTCTGCAGATCCACTGGGGTGGGGTCTGAAGAGCCACGAGCACAGGGAGATATGAGACAGTAGAAAGGATCCCCACATGGAGTGCTAAGCCCCGGCCTGACCCACTTGAGCCCCACCCCAGCTCTCCTGCACTCACCAAAGCAAAGTCAGTGATTTCCGAGCTGTACATTCTTTTCAAAAATACACAAGTTGGAATAACTAAAAACTGCCATTCTTTTCAGTGTTTTCGTGGGGCCCCCAAGAGCCTCCCACACACCAGCTGCCTGAGCAGGGGTGAGGGGGGCTGCAGGTGGCTGAATGACAGGGAACAAAGACAGGAGGGACATGGAGGAGGGAGGGTGGGGCAATCCCCAGTGTGGCTGTGGGAGTCAGCTGTCCCCACCGTTGGATGGGACACCCCCTCTTCTTCCCACTCCGAGACAGAAGGGACCCTTTATGCCTGCCACTGCCACAGCAACCCCACACATCTCCCAAGCCCGACAAAGCCAAAAAGGCTCAGAGCAGCCGTCAGAGGTGGGAGAAAGGGTTGGTGGGATCAGTCACCAGCCAAGGCCACAGAAGGCCTCCAGGAGGGGATAGAGCTGCAGAGACACAGAAAGGGCGGCACCACCAAGGCTCAGCCAGCTTTCTATATGCTTCCCAGCTTGTCCCTTCAGAGAAAAGTCAGAGTCCACCATGGTCTCAAACAGCCTGGCTCTGCACCAGTCTGGCCCCTTCCTCCATTCTCTCACTGACTCCATTCCAGACCAGCCACCCTCCTGGCCAGCTCCTCATCACCTGAGTACATTCCTGCCTCAGCCTGCCTGCAACATTCTCATGTTCATTTATATCTTGCCCCCAAGGTCACCTCTTCAGAGCAGCGTTCCCTGACCCCATGACTTCCACCCCTGTGCCCCAACTGCTTGTTCTCCTTAGCACTTGCTACCTCCCCACGTGACACTCAGAATCTCTTGTTCATATAGTTTCTCTCTCCCACAAAAAGTGAGACCTTGATTTTGTGCTGTGTCCTCAGGCCTTGAGCAAGGGATGGCTTTTGTAGCATAAATTAATGCTAGAGAGATTGAGTGGGAAATGATGGATAGACAGGTGGATGGGAGAAAGGAAGGATGGCTGGAAGGACAGATGAATCAATGGATGGAAGGGCAAAGGTAGCATGGACTGACAGACAAATGTATTGAAGGATGACCTGACCGATGAATGGATGGAAAGATGAACAGAAAGGTGGGTGGATAGAGGTAGGGATGGATGAACCAATGGGAAGAAGAAAATTAAAACATGAGAGGAAAGAAGAATGGATGGATGCATGGAGGGAAACAGATGTGTGAATGAAGGGATGGAGGGATGGATTCATGGGTGGATGGGTGGGTGGATGAATGGGTGAGAGGAGGGATGGATACATGAAAGGATGAATGAGGGATGGGTGAGTAGATGGATGGGTGACAGGAGGAATGGATGGGTGAGGAGTGGAGGGATAGAGGGTGGACGGTCAGTCAGATGATACGCACTGGCAGGCAAACAGGAGATGTGGCAGGCGAGGTAGTGGCCTCAGCTGATTGACTTAGAAAGAGGGTACAGGCAAAGCTCAGCACTTTGGGGCTCAGAGCTCTCAGCCTTGGCCTCCTCCAGCCCTGTGCCTCCCCCAGCCCGGCCCTGGGAAAGGACACTGAGGACTGTAGCAGGTGGGGGACTGACCCCAGGCTTTATTGAGCAGAGTCCGGGACAGCGGGACAGACTGGCCCTTGCCCCAGCCCCCAAGCCTCTTCTTGCCCCTGAGGCCTCAGTTGCCTTCAGCTGCTGAGGAAGCAGCCCCTCTTGTGCCACTTCTGGTCTCGGATGCGGCGCACTGACTGCAGCTGCGGCTGCCCGGTGGCCCATTCATTCCAGTGCCGGTACTCGCCGAGCTCAAAGGGGAACTGGCTCCCGCAGTAGCCCGGGAACTCATAGCTGACCCACCTGCGGGCAAGGGCCACTCAGTGAGAAGCGCGGACTCCAGCACCACCTCTGACCACGCTCTCTGCCAGCCTAGCTTCCTAGGCTCGCAACTGCATCTCTAGCCTCATCATCTCTCTACACTCCCGCTCATCTCTTACCTGCTTCCCTGAACCTGGCCTGGCTCTGAGCCTTTGTACAAGCTGTTTCTTCTCCCTGGAATATGGATATACAACACGCTTCCCTACCTCCTCTCTCTCTCTCTCTCTCTCTCTCTCTCTCTCTCTCTCTCCAGTACTGGGGATTGAACCCAGGGCCTTTACACTGAGCTACATCCCCAGTCCTTTATTTGCGTTTTAAATTTTAAGACAGGTTTTCACTAACTTGCCCAGGCTAGGCTTGAACTAGCAGTCCTCCTGCCTCAGCCTCCCAGAATGCAGGAGTACAGGTGTGCACATCCTTTTCAACTCAACTTAGTTCTCTGTTCTTCTTAAAGCTATTCCTGACCTTCTCAGGCTGAATGAAGTACCTGCTAGGACTTCCAGTGCCATGCCTGCCCTGCCCAATCCTGATCACAGTCCAGTGTGAATACCTGTTTCCTTGACTGTCTCCTTGTCAGACTGTGAAATTCTTGAGGGCAGGGGCAGTGTAGTTCTTATTGTCCACTTTAATCTCCATACTGGGCACAGAATAGATGCTCAGTAAAAAGTCATTAAGTCATCAGAAAGGGGAGGCACCTCTCAAGGCCTAGCTCCAGATTACAAAGTAATGCAACCAGCAACAGAGGATAGTCCTAAGGTTGCATTAACAGCTATTAAGCCTGGAAGGAGGGAGGTAATAAGCTTGCTCTCCTATGTACTACTCAGGTCACACCTGGACAGCTATATGCATCCCAGCCAGATCCCTTGGTAAGAGGGACAAGGCTCATGAATGGGAAAAATTTCTGAAAACCAGTTCCAAGGCCTGGGAAAGTTCAGAAAAGGAGTAAATACTTAGATGGGGACAGATGGGCAGATTTTACTCGATAAAATTTGGTGGAGGGTAGGCAGTGCTCCTGAAGGAGGATTGAACTCAAGGCCTTTATGCTGAGCTAGAGCCCCAGACCTTTGTATTTTATATCTTGAGGTAAAGTTTCCCTAAATTGCCCAGGCTTGGCTGGAATTTGCAATCCTTCAACCTCAGCCTCCTACAGCGCTGGGATTACAGATGTGCACCACCACACCAGGCTTAAAAGACAAAAGTTCTTTGAGTCAAGGCTGCCTAGAAATCTCAAGGGTGTGGGAGGCAGGGGCAACTGGACAGTCGCCTCCTGGGGGATTCCTGGGGGGACATTCTAGGCCGCAGGCACCGCCTACGTCATCAGATAAGAAACCCTGAGCTGAGAAACCCTTCCCAGGGGAGACTGGGCCCTGCAGCAGAGGGGGCGGGACCCTTACGTCCCATTGATGGCGCGGGCACTGGCCACGCGGTTCTGGAAGCCGTGAGCCCACAGGCTGGGCACATCATCGTCCACGATTTCCATCTTGCAGCCACCGAAGGCAGGGTTCTCAAACAAGTGCAGCTTGTGGTCCAGGCCGTCCTGGGGGTGAGAACCGGGAGGACCTGCTGCTCTCACACCCGGAAGCGGCACAGGAGCCCAGAAGCAGGAAAGAATCAGTAAGCCACCCCAAACCCTGGCAAAAGAGAGGGGACTCAGGGCTGCGCGCATAGGGAAGCTTACAGCCAAAGGGTATGAAGCCAAAATGGACCAAACAGATCTCATTCAACCCTGACCTTTAGCAAGTTGGGAAACTGAGGCTCAGAGAGGGTGGCAGGAGATCAAAAGTATTAATGTAGACAGGTGCTATGGCACATGCCTTTATTCCTGGCACACTGGGGGGCTGAGGCAGGAAGCTCTCAAGTTCAAGCCCACTCTGGGCAATTTAGTGATGCAGTGAGACTGTGTCTCAAAATAAAATAAAACAAAATAAAATGGCTGGGGATGTAGCTCAGTGCCAAGGCCCTGAGTTCAATCCCCACTACTGAAAAATAAAAGTCCAAGCATCCCCTCTTTATTAAGCAAGATCCTGATTTAATCTTCCCTCTTTCCCCTTTCCACTGCCCTCGGATGAGGAGTCAGATACAGGACACAGAAAAATTGCTGAAGCAGCCACTGGGTGTGAAGTAGGCAGGTGACATTTGAAATGCTACTGCAGACTGTGTCCCTTTCAGGTGTTGGAGAAACTCGAGGGAAGAAGGGGTTCTTTCGAGGTTACTTTCTGAAGTTATTTTCCGGGCTTTTTCTCTATGACCCCAGTGCGGATCTGAGACTGGACTGTGTGGCCTCTACTGGAATAGGGTTACAAAGCAAGTCCCAGGGTCATCCAGGCTGATTTGAGAAGGGAACTCTGGTGTCCAGACCCCCGTTCGATGCCCATTCAGTAGCCAACTTCTTGTTCCACACGATCATTTAGGCCAGAGACGTGGGGGCCCTTCTGGGGCCAGGCCCACCTCACACACTTGGGAACCAGCTTCACACTCTCTGCCTCTCAGCTCCCAAAAGTGGGCAGAACCTCTACTCACAACGTGCAGAGGCCAGAGAGACAGCAGGCTGTCATTGTGGCGGCTGCTGGACCAGGCATCCCAGCGTGGGTAATCCCCCCTTCTCCAGGACAAACTGCTCCCCACAGAAGGCCCTGAGCTCGAATGCCAGCCACCTCAGGAAGGAAGGGGCCAGGGTAACCTGGATGCAGCCAGGGGACCCTTATCCAGGGAGGACAGGACCCAAGAGCTGCTGGCATCCACCTAGCAACCTGCCCATCCTCAACCTGACCTGTTACTGAGGAGCTGCAGGGACATACTGGGCACATCTGGGGCTCTGGGCCAGAAAAATATCCAGGCAGATGGCACTGAGGAGGTATTTGATGTCCAACCTCTGTGCAGGATGCAACACCACACAGCCAGGATTCCTTAGGCGGCGACTCCTCCTCCTCCTCCTCCTCCTCCTCCTCCTCCTCCTCTTCCTCCTCCTCATTTCCTTCCTTCCCCCCTCTCCATCAATCAGTTTGTTTTCACAAATTCTCCCTCTGACACAGTACCATTTTTGCCACCACTGGACAGCTGAGAAGAGACCCAAGACCACACAGACGGTGCCACAGCCCACACTGCCCATCTGTAGGTGAGGATGAAGAGCCAGGCTGGGACCCCTGTTTGCCTGTGGGCACAGAGGGACACCTAATGCTTTGGGTTGTTTCCTCGTTTGCAAAAGGAGATAAGAATGACACCTTTGGGGCTGAAGATTTAGCTCAGTGGTTCCGGCGCCTGCCTTGCAGGTGCAAGGTTCCAGGTTCGATCCCCGGTACCAAAGAAAGAAATAGAATGACACCTTTCTCACAGGATGAGGACTCATGATATAATGCACATTAAATTTCAAATGCTATTACCTATAATCCTAGCACTCTGGGAAGCTGAGGCAGAAGGATCCCAAGTTTGAGCTCAACTTGGGCAATTTAGTGACTTAGTGAGAGCTTATTTTAAAATTTTAGAACATTTAAAAGGGGCTGAGGATGTAGCTCGTTTATAATTTTTCAAAATTATAAACATTAAGTTCCATTTATATTTATGTAAATTGAATATCCAGGTAGGTGTGGGGCTGTCTTTCCCTGCCCTCTCTCCCCAGTACTCTGCCACATATAACAGAAATCAAGAGCTAGAAGGATGCTAAAAGGAATTACCGTTCTACTCTCTCATTAGCAGATGGGGAAACTGAGGCCAGAGAAGGGATGGGAGTTATTTAAGGCACCATAGCAAATTTTGACCTGGAACAAGGACCCCTGGCTCCCAGTCTGGGAAGACTCAGGCTTCAAGGGCCCACTCAATACCCACGGCCCGGACTCCACTTGGATGGAGCCCACCTTCTCCAGCAGCCCATCAGTCAGGCTGGGGCACTCGGCTGAGAGCTCGAATCACTTGCCCTGGAAGTTCTCCGGTTCATACAAGGTCACCTGGAAGAGCAGCATCCTGAACACCCAGCCTATCTGGCACCTAGCTGCAGCCCTGGCAGCAGAAAGGGGTGCCAGGGAGCCACAAACCTGCCCTCAGCCCACAATGCACCCGCATTGTCCCCTGGTGACTACAGTGGAACTGCCTACAGGCACCTCCATTAGACCAAAAGACCTGGATCGCCGGCCCAAGAGGCCCTTAGAGGTCACTAGAACCGCATGCAGGGTCAGAAGCTATGGGACGAGGGCAAAGCTGACCCAGTGTCACACCTGAGGATCAGGCCTAGGGTCAGCAGTTCTGGGGCTGCCTTCCCTGCCAGTCCTCTGCTCTTGAAGATGCTACCGGGATGCTCTCAGACATAACCTTCACAACAGAGCCTAGTGACGCATGCCTGTAATCCCAGCACACAGGAGTCTGAGGCAGGAAAATTGATGCAAGTTCGAGGCTAGCCTGGTCTACATAGTGAGTTCAGGGCCAGTCTGAACTACGAAATAAGACCTGGTCTCTAAAAACAAAACAAAAAAAAAGTGAGAAGGCAGCTGGGGATGTAGCTCAGTGGATAAAAGCTCTAGGTTCAATCCCCAGTATCACAAAGCAAAAAAGCCCTGCCCCTGCTTTTCTCCTTGGGGGTCCTCCGAAGGCCCCTAGAGGCAGCCAAGTCAAACTCCCCTCCAATGGCTGGGTGCCTCCCCTGCCTACCACCCCTCTGTATGGCATCCTGGTGAGCTGTCACACTGTGTATGGGGCCAGGGCGAGACCCTGGGCCTAGGCCAGACAGGATGGAGGGAGGATGAAGCTGGATCTCCTGACACCCTCCTGCCTCTGGCTCCGTTCAGACAGGCTGGATGTGTGAGATGGGTTTGATCTTGCAGACAGGACACAGAGGGAAGGTGCAGGGAAGTGGTGAAGCAGGTTCCTGGCAGCCGGATGGGGTGTTTCCCCCAGCCGTGGTGGGGAGGGCAGCTGCTCCCTTTAGAGAGAGGCTGCCAGTGGGGAGCTGCCTCTGAGCCCAGAGTACCCATTCTGACCAGTACCTTGTAGCCGCCCCCAAGGCCTCCGTGGCTCTTGCCAGCTGCAGCCTGCTGTGGTGCTCCATGCTGTTCTGCCATCTCTCAGGAACACTCTGGCTTCAAATCAAAGGAGAAGGGGTCACCAGGTCCACCCAGGCAGACCCAGGTGTTGATGTTAGTGGAAACTTACTGGCTATGGGATGTGTTCATGATTCATGAGCTACATTGATCATTCAGTGATTCAACAAACACCCAAAGAGGACCTACCATGGATCATGGAGACTGTGACAGTCAGTGGGGTCAGGAGGCCCATTTTGACGAGGGAACTGAGCCCCAGCAAAGTAAAACCACTTCTTCAAGACACACAGTGAGGAAAAGGCCCCAACTGGGCCTGGCATAGGCCCATGCCCTTTCCTCCGTGCCCACTGTTCCCCCTAAAATGGGATCTTGGAGCCTTCTGCAGATGCATCACCCCTGGACCCAGGCCAGAGTCTGACTGCAGGTGTTTCTTCCCAGCTGCCCCTCCCATCTCCATCCTCCAGTTTTTGTTCACTGGTCACCTCCATCCCCAATGACTCTGTCCCAGGCATTGGGCCAGGTGACCAGGGTGAAGGGCAGGCCAGTGGAGGTGGGAGGGGACAGACAGATGACATTCAGAGAAAGCACACATGAGACCAGGTCCTCAGACACCCACTTCTGGTCAGTGTCTGTGCTGTCAGCTATTCATTCTGGAAACTCTTACTGAGCACTTGCTGTGTACCAGCCACTTCAAGAGACAGATTCAGTCACACAGTTCCCCTTCCTTGCTCTGGGAACAGCAGTATGCAGCCCAGGCCCCTGCGGATGTCACATGGAAGGATTCTCCCAAATGTTGTCCACATGACACACTGAGGACCTTCTGTTTTGGGGCATATGCATGTGTGCAATTGGGCACGCGGACACACAGAAGTACACAAGGAACCCACATCCCCACCCCATGCCCCCATACCACTGCCCCCTGCCCTGGCTTCCTGCACATCTGGCACACATGGCCATGAGGCCCATTTGGTGTGCACCCAGGGCTGCGGTGTGTACAGCTGCAGCTGCTGGCCTGGCATGGCCGGCTTCAGCCAGAAACAGCCCTAGTCCCACTGGTGGGGACTCTCAGGGACCCTGCAGGTCTTGAGTTTTCCCTCTTCTTTCCTCAGAGCTGCCTGGCCTTGAGGCTCCAACCCTGGCCACGACCCTTTATAGACAGACAGTGCAGGTCCCCACCCTGAGCTGAGTCTGGTGGCAGACTTGTGTCCAGTCACTCGGGCCCACTCTCAAGGACCCCCAGCATTGGCAGGGAGCCAGCCACGCATACCAAGAGGTTACCAAGCTCCTCCGGTCAGGGTGGCCCCGCCTCCCCACCCCACCATGCTCATCTCAAGGAACCTGTGCTGTAGCCTCAGAACCAGACAGACAGAGGAGCCAGGCGTCTGCAAGGCCTCTCCTGGTGACTGTCCTTTTCATGGGCCTGTTCTGACCGCCCAGCACATCCTCATGTGCTGAGGCAGCTCCCTGTGCCCCTGATTGTGTCCAGGCCACTTCACTCCAATAGCAGCTTCCTGAGGCCCCTGGCCTGTCTTCTCAGCGTGGCCTCTGGTGACTTTGTAGGCAGATAGCTCTTGCTGCTCTGAGGGGAGGTAGCAGCACTGGGCAGGGCAGGGGGCATGAAACTTTCCAGTGCTCCCCAAACCCCTTTCTCTAGCCTCTTGGTGCCACCATTTTCCTGTTGGGAGTGCATGGTAAACTTGTAAAGGCTGCAGTTCTTAGAATGAGGGATCCCAGAATCCTTCCAGTTTGGACATGCCAAAAGGGCCTAAATATCCAATCCAATCACTGGGAACAAATCTGGGAAGTTTAACTTCTTCATGTAGATGGCATCCTTGATACGACCTGTTTATTGTTTTGGGGTTTTTTTGGTACCGTGGATTGCACTGAGGACTTCGTGCTTGCGAGGCAGGCAGGCTAAATCCCCTGTCCTTGACCTGTTTATTGAAGACCTACTCCGTGCAAGGCTCTGTACCAGCTTTTAAGCATTATGTTTAATCCTCACTCAGCCATCTTTAGGGGAGGAATTGTAACCTTCATTTTATGGAGAAACTGTGTTCAGAGATATGAAGTCACTTAGCCAGGATCACATAGCAAGTCCCAGGCCAGGCCTGGGCTTTTAGCCTCAGTAGCATTAAAGGTGATCATGATGGCCAACTTATTTATGACCAGTAAGTAAATTTATGACCAGTAAGTAAATACTAAGTCTAGGCATTTTAAGTATTTGACAAAAGTAGAGTTTTGTCTGTGATAAGTATTTAATTGTGATTAAAGAATGAATAAAAGGATGAGGAAGCAAAGGAGTAAATTGAAAAGAACAGTTTCACATTATTTGTTGTGGATAAAAAGCCTGGAGTCCACATGGACCCGTGGGGGTGGTGGTGGGATGCAGCAGGTGACAGCTGCACTCTGGACTCGGGTGGATCCCCATGACCCTGGCTCAGCTACTAAGGTCACACAGCCACACTGTCCTGTCCTGCTCCCTGCTGGAGCCAGTGAGAGATCACAGTCACACATAGCTAGGCTGGTTTCCACCCAGGAACTTGGGATGCAGTCACCACCAGCCAGGCACATGGGGAGGAAGGCAGGGGTGGGGACAGAGTGGCTCCCTCCCACTGGGTCCTTCTGGGTCCCAAGGACCTTCATGTGCTCATTACTTCCATGTGCCCCAACTTGGTAACCAAGAGTTCTTGACCTCAGCTCTGCTGGCATCAGGAGTTAGGTCCCTCTTTGTGGGGGGCGGCTGAGAAGAGGGAGCTATTGAACAGCATCCCTTGGCCTCTCCTCACCAAGCACGGAGTATGTTCTCCCCCGTGATGACCTCCGATGGCACAGTCCACCAGGCTGAGAACCCCTGCCCTGAATCCTTGCTCACAAATGCTGCACTCAACCCCCACCCCCATTGTATAGCAAAGGAGAACTGATGCTCAGAGATGCCCCCAGCCAGGAGGTGGCAAAGTGAGCATTCCAGCCCTTGTTCTGAACCTGCCATTTCTCCACGGCCTCCCACCGTGGACAACACCCAGTTCCAGGAATCCAGCTCCCTCCCACTGCAGGCCCACAGCTAGCACAGGGGAGGGGCTGACTCAGCAGCAGGCGAGGGGCACCGGCCCCCCTGCCCAGGAGCCCCCGTTCATGCACATGGACAGGCCAGCTTCTCCAATGCAACTTACATCAAAGCTTTATTTGCTGTTTTCAGAGTCTGAATGCAACGTCTCTGTACATGCAAATGTCATCTCGTTTCACTGCAGTGGACCAGTTTCCAACTGCTCTTCTGTGCATAAGAAACCTCTTTACAGTTACAAAATATAAAAGCACTTGTAGACACCCAATACTCTGTGAGGTCCAGGAAATCTTCCCCCCTCTCTTTTTGTTTACATTAAAAATATAGGTTTTTCTAGATGAATTCTTGGTCATGTGGTTAGATTTTTTCCAGGATCGGATAAAGTGCCTCGCACTTGCCTTCCATTTAGAAGTCCTGGAGCTTGTGAATTCATAAGGCAACTGCAAGAACACCACAGGCAGGGACCTTAGTCCCCCCCCCCCCCCACAACTTGAGTTCTTGTCCTACCATGACTCAAATATCTGAGGATGAGCCCAGAACAGTTCGGAAAATATATACTATATTTCTAAATACCGTAGTTCTGCCCTCTTACTCCATCTTGCAAAACACATGGGAATCATAACCCGCTGGGAAGCATGTGACTTCTAGGATACCTGTGTGACTTAGGAAATAATACAGTATAAAACATAAAACACCTTCCACACTGCAATTACTCTTGTGAGCTCCATAGTTATGGGATCTATATGGCAATGTGGAATGAGATCATCATTTAAAGGCTCAACTTTTTCTTTAGATTATAGCATGATTTTTAGCTGGTGTGATGCCACCAGGGATTGTCACAGAACAGCTAGTCCAAGTCACATTAAGAGGTGCCATGGCTCAGGTGAGGGGCAACTATTTGAGGGTGTTGTAAGGGGGAGGGAGGAAAAGGAGATGGGCTGGGAGGTGACAATTTCAAGGGTTCACTTGCCGGAAACCTTGGGCTGGTTTTCCAGAGCAGAGAGCTGGCTTTCTGCCTCTCTTCCTGCAGGAGCCAACCAAATAAAGGAAGGAAAAATCCAGAGAGCGATGGGGACTAGAGACCTGGACTGGTGATGACCCAGGGTGCTCATTCTGTTGGCATGGACTTAGGCTTCCACAGCCCTGGCCTCCCCAGATTCCATGGGGGTGGCTCCTGGCACCTTCTCAGCACAGAGCCAGGTTTCCCTACTCACCACGGGACTCAGCCCAAGCTGGTTCCCCTCTGAGATGTGGAGTGGGTCACTCTGCTCGGGTGGCTCTCTCTACCCCAACATTGTCCCTCATCCCATGGGATCATGGCCTCCAGGCTCCCATACTCAGGGTGGGTGTGGGGGGTGTTCCCAGGCTACAGAACCACTCTGTCACTTCAGACACTTCCATAGATTAAACTTCCAAACTGGGGAGTGGAGGCTTTATCTCTGCAGTCGTGCTTCACTCCAGGGGCCAATCTGGGTGCATCAGGATGAAAAACAAATTGTCAACACAGACTGATGAGGTGGCTATCAACCCCAGATGGGAACGACTGGTTTCCTTTAGGAAAATCATGCTCAGGATTTTCCCAAATCCTTTCTCAGCCTCTAAAGCTCAGGAACTTAGGCTGATGGCTATTTCTGTTCATGTTCCTTAGCACTTTCCTAAAGTCAGCCTCACTTCTGGGGAGGCTGAAGAAGACAAACTTGTCTGGGGTTGTATAACCTGTAAGATGCCACCATCTGACTGTCCTTTCTCTAATCCCAGATAACCCAAGGTGGGCGGGTCAGTCTCACTCCAAGCCCCCGAAGGTCCCCAATACAGTGAGGTCTCACTTCCACCAGCATTTCTCTGGTGGTGCTGAGTAATTCTCTACAAGACTAACTTTTGAGGCTTCACCATGTATCATTAAGCAAGGGACCATGAAGGCAATGATCCACTGGAGGGGAATGAGATACAGACTTAGCAAAAAGGCCAGCTGTCAAAATACCGATGGGCACAGGGGGAGGAGGAGGTGGTACCTACACAAGAAGCGGCATTCTAGTAAGCCTCATTTGAGAAGAGATAGAGCTGCTGGGCTGGGCAGGTGACTTGACTGCTCACAGGCGATTAAGGCATATTAAGTTAGTTTAAAAAGAAACAGATATCCAGAGGGGGGCTCCAGAAAAACTTGGAAAGCTAGTTCCCAATGGGTGGGCAACCCACGGCTTAGCCCCAAAGAGCTCACCTAGTTTAGAAAAGGGGAAATAATCAACCCCTTGGCCCAGCTTCCTGCCAAGGCTCCTGGGCAACGGTTACTTCTCACTGCACTGCACAGATCACAAGCAGGACTCCAAGGTCATGGGGAACCTGCACTAGGAGGGTCACTCCCAACCCACTGTGACTGTCAGCTCTGTGCTGCTGGAAAAGATGAGATGAAGATCTTCAGGGCTTGAGGCTAGGGCTGAGTCAGTGGGTTTGTCTCAATCAAGGTAGAATTAAATAGATATATTGCTAGTCAAGGTGTGAGAGGCTGGGCAAAAGATCCCCAGGCCAACCTCACTTGAGAGTGGTTTCTTTCCTGTCATTTGACTTGTGCTCAAATCTAACTCACTTAGAATTAAGCGTTCTGCTTGGTGCTGTCCACACACATAGGAGCCAAGGGCCCTTTCTACTTGGCAGAGAGAAAGACAAGAGTCAAGAGATGAAGTCAGGGCCAGAACACTAGGAGTGTTTTCTAAGAGAAGCTCTTTGACTTAGAGAGCCACCACATTAAAACTGTTGCAAAACATGACATAGATCTGCCAAAAAAATCAAAGCAGTTCTGGAAAGATTAAATCCCCAAATAGTGGGCCGGGGACTTAGCTAGTTCAGTGGTTTCGCCACCTCCTGCCCAAGCGCAAGGACCCGAGTTTGATCCCCGGTACCAAAAAAAAAAAAAATCCCCAAATAGTTACAGAGAACAGACTGAGTACTATACCTCCGGGATGAAAATACAAACTCTCATTGAGCAAAGCCAAACTTCCAAACACAGACACGTGAGGCTGATGTCAGCCCCAGCAACAGCCCACCAGTAGGCAAAGCCCAGGCCATTCATTAAGAGGGGGGATGAGTGGGCCCGCTGTTGCTGTCCATGCTTCTGACCTGCACCCTTAAGCAGTGCATAGGCATCTGTCTGAACCTGGAGAAATCTTCAATACCAGTCCCACACGCAAGAGAGAAAAGAGCCAGTAAAAGCAGGGAGGGAGATAAGATGGGGAGAGACATAAAGAGTCTGGGAGAGGAGGCAAGGGAGAAAAAAAGGAAAGTTTTGACACCATTTACAAATAATGGATTTACCAAGAAAGACTTTCCACCTCTCAGGAGTCCACTTTGCTGTCTAGCTGGTCTACACACAGATCCATCAGGACATTCAGTTCCAGGGCCCCCTGCAATCGTGGGCTGCCCTGTGAACTGCCCATGTGTCTCACCATTGGGTGATTCTCTGGCAAGGTTGGCACAAGGTCTATGGCAACTCCAGCATGGCAGGTAGCCAGCCAGGCACATCTGGGATGCTTGCTGGTGCCTGAAGCTTTGGGAGTGGAGGGAAAGGGGTTGGGTTGAGAATTTCCAGGAACAAAAGACAGAGTAGAAGGAATTCCCAGAGGCCTGGAGATTCCCAGGAATCAGCCTATAGAAAAAGAAAGAGGCAGGGTGAGTCTTACACTTTGTCACTGAGCATCCAGCACTCCCAGGAAGTTCGTGGCCTAGAGCTCACCTTTGGCAAAGTTTTGAGTAATGCTACCATTTGAATTCCCCACCCCACCCCCCAAAACATGCAGTCAGGTGGAGCTGGTGAAGATGGCTCAAGGTGACAGAAAATAAAAAACAAAAAGTACTCCTAACTCAAGCATTTGTTCTGAGGCTGATTTAGAAAGGCTCCTCTACTATAGCAACCCAGACTTTGTTCAAGGGGGACTGGAGAAGATGCCTGGGGCAGGTCTGGTGTTTGACAAAGGTACTGCCATTTGAGCAGCACTTATGACCCTTGAGGCCAAGGGACAAAGGCCATCCCACAGAAATCAGAGATCAAATGGGAAAGAAAGGGGGGAGACTATATACAGGGTGACAGTTACAAGTTGTAAAAAGCCTGGATAGAGATAAGGTAACCTGAGGTTAGATACTTCAGAACATACTATTCACACACCTGTCCTCCTATCCTTTAACGTAAAAACATATATATATATCAATTTCAAAGAAAATTGGCTGTTATTGCTTTATTGCCTTCTAAAGCAAACAAAAAATAGGTCAGCTATGCACACAGCCCAACTAGAAGGAGAAATATACTTAAAAGAATCAGGGAGGGTATGTTTAAAAATTGGAAAAGCTGATTTGTCATGAGGAAAAAGGAACCTGTCAAAGCAATCAAAACTCCCAACACCCCATGGTAATGCCTTGGACCAAGATAACAGCAGCAAGTGAATGGTTTGAACTTTCTTAAATGTCCTTTCCTAGTGAAAAGCCAAGAGTTGGTCTCCCAATTCAGGTGTTTTCAGAACCAAGGCAGAGAATCCAGGCTTGCACTGATGTTCCTGGAGATGCAGAAGGTGTTGAACGAGGGTAGAAATGCAAACTGATATTAAAGCAAAACCCCCAGCAGAGGGCATTTCTGGGCAGCCTGGCCTCCGTCCCAGCCTTCTGTCTTGGACCTGAGCAGGTCCTCACAGAGGGGAGGCCTTCCTGTGAGATTTGGACCCTGGAGCATGGTCTCTGGCCCCGAGAGGATCCAGGCACGTGAGCATGGTGCGGGAGGGAGGGCAGCAGCTTGGCCTCTCTGCAGCTCATGACAGTCTGACGGTTAAGGCTTCTGTTAATTGATGTGGCACTGCTCCCTGCCTGGAAAGAAAAGGACAGTGCTGGTGTCAACAGTGGGAACGTTTTGTCCCACCTGCCTCCCTCACCAGGCCTTCCAACCTTTTCTGGGGACCAGGGGTGCAGTCCAGTGGTAGAATACACACCTAGTATGAGCAAGGGCCTGGCTCCCTTCCCCAGCACTGCCAAAAACCAAATAAACGAATAACCATTTCTGGTAGTCCCCAGGGAAGGAGCCTTCATAACCTTAGGCCAGGAAAGATTTTTTGGCAGGTAGGAAAGGGGCGAAATGAGGAGGGTGGCGAGCAGTCTTGTCCAGTGGAATGAACTGGACATTTAGAGCCAGGTCTGAGCCTCACTTTCCTCCAATGGATTGCTGATAATAATATATTTCAAAAGAAGTATCAGAGAGGGTTTGGAATGCTCTCGCCACAAAGAAGTGATAAATGTTTGAGGGGGTGGATTTGCCAATTAACCTGACTTAATCATTACACAGCTTGTAAGTGTACTGAGACATCACACTGCATCCCATTTTTATATACAATTACTACGTGCTAATTAAAAACAAGATTAAACTTTAAAATGAAAGGATCGCTGGAAGACTCCAGGAGATAGCACATGTGCCATACTAAACACAAATAAACATAGGTCCTGATCCCTTAGTCACCTTGAGCACTGATTTACTGGGGAATTTTTAAGTCTTTTTGAGATAAATATGCACATATATACTCAAACATACCTGTCCATCCATACATATACATATTATGCAACCTATATTATGCATCACTCCCATAATCAAGCACATAATATACTACGAGTATTCATCCGGTTGGACAAATAGGGCTGGGGGTTTAGCTCAGTGGTACAGCACCTGCCTAACATGGACAAGGCCTGGAGTCTCATCCCTTGCACAGCATAAATAAATAGATAGATTAGCAAATACATAAATGCAAGAAGTCATCAAAATATACAGGGAGTGTTTAAATTTTTCAATTTATTCTAGTAAAACAGACATTGCCATTACTCCCTCTCAAAATACTCCCCCTTGTTTCCAACACACTTATCCCATCATTCTTGCCATTTTCTGAAGCAGTTCTGAAAGTCCTCTTTCACAAGTGTCCTCATGTGGTGTGATCAAATACACAGTGAATGCTGTTGCTGAGAAAGGCCTTCCAACAGAAAGGCAGGCTCATAAAAACATTACAGTGTATCCTCATCTACCTCATTACTACCATTCACTGGATTTGGCACAATGACTTCTGGCTCTTCCCCCCAAATCAAAATAATCATGAAAAGTAAATATTTTGAATCAATTCAGGACTCTGAGGCAGCCACAATGGTGCGACTAAAGACATTCATGAAAGAGAACTTCTAGAAGTGTTTCAGAAAGTGGCAAGAGTGATGGGATAAGTGTTTGAAGTGAAATGGAGTATTTGAGGGGGATGGTCTTTTACAGTAATAAATTTTTAAAAAAATTTAAACATCCAATCATATTTTTCAATCATACTGCATAAGTAATACATAAAGTGCTGCAAACAGTATCTACAGCATTATCTCCATTCAGGTGAGGTTTTGTCACTGAATGAGAAATAAAAATAGTATTGTTGTCAGAGCATTTGGGACTTCAGGGATGTGGGTCATTTCTGCCAATCAAATCAAGGCCAACTTTGCCTTGTCATCATGTGCTCCTAAACTGAGGATGTACAGGAAGCACACAGTCTGGCACTTCCAGCGTGTTCTCACTGAGCCCTGAGGACCCCTCGGTGATGTGGGCACTGGTGATCCATTTTGTGTGTGGAAACTGAAGTTCACAATGGTCAGACATCTGAGACCTGCACCAGAGTGCATATAATCATTTGGTTTTTAAAATAAGATCAGTCTTCCCCGTCTGTGTGTTCCCCATCTGTGGATTCAGCTAACTCCAGATTGAAAATATTTTGGTCTATGGCCATACTACCCTGAATGTGCCCAATCTTGTCTGAAAATATTTTGGGGGAAAAAGTACATATGTATTGAATGTATAGGCTTTTTGTCTTATTATTATTCTCTAAAAAATTTCCACAGCATTTACTTTGTACTAGGTATTATAATTACCCTAGCAGTGATTTCAAGTATTTGGGAGGATATATGTAGATTTTATACAAAGACTACACCATTTTATGTAAGGGACTTGAGAATCTCTGGATTTGGGTGTCTTTCTGGAGCCATTCCCCTGTGGATACTGACCGATGATTGTATGTATTTTTTGTTTGTTTGAGTTTTCTTTGCTTTTTTTCTTTTTTTGGTACTGGGGATCAAACTTGGGTCCTTGCGCTTGCGCAGCAGGCAGCAAAACCACTGAGCTAAATCCCCAGCCAGATTGTATGTATTTTTTAAATTAAATATAATTAGTTTGTACATGAATATATTCCCCATACAGAAATTGGAAACACCCTTCCATTTTATAAAAGAGGCAGCAGGAAGTGTTCGCCAAGAGCACAAGATCAGAGCCCTGGGCATCTGAGCCTCCACCCAGGCCCTTTTCATTCACCCCAGGCTGCCCCGCTTAGCTCCATACCCATAGGAATAGATCACCACTGCCCCCAAACACAACTCTGCCCACCCTGACCCCTCTCTGTGGCTTGCTCTCTCTGTGGCACCACGTTCCAACTCCACACCTCTGCCCCCATCTGAACTCTGCTCCCAGGACCATGGGAACCTTTCTACCTGTCACACGTGATTCTCATACAGGCTTTGCCGCTTCTTGGATTTCAGCTCCCTTAGCCACTGGGGAGAAGGTTCTTCTGACCTGAAACCACAAGGCCAGGGAGTCAGTGTGGGCCACACCATGGCTCCTGCAGGTAGGGCTGCATGGTGCCCGACTCCATCCATTGTGCCAAGGCAGGGGCTGGCCAAGCACTCACAGTGAAAACATGTCATATTAACATGATCAATAAGCAAGAAACAGAAATTCATCAGTGTCCATCAATGGGCAGAAATAAATTAGTCCTGATATATCCATTCTGTGAAGTAATCTGTAAAATGTTATCTCATATAAAATTATTTCATACATCAATTTACCAATTATCCATCCATCCTTCCATCTCTCTATCCATGTACAAAATCCCTTAATTCTGTATGTCATCTTGACCAGACCATAGTACCTAGATATTTGGTCAGACATTATTCTATCTGTTTCTGTGAAGGGTTCTTTTTTTGGATGAAATTAACATTTAAATCAGTAGACTCTGAGCAAAGCAATTTACCTCCATACTTGGTGGGCCTCATCCAATCAGCTGAAGGCATTAGTAAAAAAAGACTGACTTCCTGGAAAGAAGAGCGGACTGAAATCCTGGGTCTCCAGCCTGCCAGCCTCTTCCGTAGAATTTTATTTATTTTTAATTTTTTTAGACAGGGTCTCGCTATGTAGTTTAGGCTGGCCTCAAACTCACTATGTAGCCCAGGCTGGCCTCAAAATCATGGCAATCCTCCTGCCTCAGCCTCCTGAGTGCTGGGATTACAGGTATCCACCACCACACCCAGCTCCACTGTAGATTGCCAGCACCCTACACAACCACATGAGCCAATTCTTTAAAACCATCCCCTAATACACACACACACACACACACACACACATACACACTCTCTCTCTCTCTCTCTCTCTCTCTCTCTCTCTCTCTCTCTCTCTCTCTCTCTCTTTGAACATATTTTCTGATCTCAGAAGAAGCCCCTAGCCCCCAGGCCTGGAGAGCTCAGGAAGTTGCTGACCTGGCTAGGGGCAGCTCGGGGGGAAAGGGTGACTTGGGGACATCATGAGCTATTCCACCCACCAGCCTTGGAATAAAGAGAGAGCCCCTGGGGAGACCAGGGTATGGGGTACCCCAGAGTAGCCATACCTTCCCTGGTGGCGGAGGCACAAACCCAGGCCTCCAGAGATGCCCGAGTCCCAGGCCAGGAGCCTCCTCCAGCCACCCTGCAATTCTGGTGTCCCTAGGATGGGGAATACATGGCAGCCATCCCTGTCTGTCTGACCTTGTCCTTCTGCTTTCCGAAGTCCACTCTAGTGCAAGAGCATGCACCACTCAAAGCTCCTGGAATACCAGCTTCTAGGTCTCTGTGCACTCTGGCCCCTGCTTGGCATCCCCTTTCACTGCTCCTTGACCTAGCTGAGACCTGTTTGGGCATCTAGACTCAGCAAAAGTACCTCTATTAGCTTGTAGAGCATGATGAGTCCCTCCTCTATCACAGTGTCAAAGGACCAGATAGTACCTATTTCTGACTGTGGTCTAAGGATGTCCCTGCGTAATCATACAGAAGCAGCCACAGACAATGCTGATGTGAGTAGGCATGGCTATGTGCCAATAAAGTTTTATCGGAAAATCCAGACAGTGGGCTGGATTCAGCCTGTTGGCTACAGTTTGCCCATTCTATTCTATCTTGGTACTTAGATCACAACCCTAGCATCAAAAATACTTCCTAATTTTATGTGCTGACAGTACTCGATATAAGAACTTCATTCTCTATTGAACATGTCTACACACCAGGCCCCTAGGCACTGCATGCTTCACCCTCACAGCCACCTGGAAGGTCATGACAGTTAGTAAACCCATTTTGCAGATGGGGAATCTGAGGCTCATGCTGTCTGGTGACTGCACAGCTGGACTCCAACGTGGGCTCTGTAACTTTAGAGCCTGTGCCTGTGACCTCTATCCCCAGCTGAGAGCCCTGTGGGGCAGGGGTTGCACTGAGGTCATCTCTCCATCAACCAGTCTGAGCCCAGGAACAGGACTGCTGTACCCTTGGATTGTCCTTCCCAAGTCTCCCTGAGTCTCCTGATACAAAGGTGTTTCCTAGGAGGATGAGAGGAAGAAAGCCTCAGTTTCTTCAGCTGTCTTCCCCATATCAGTAGTATCCTGGGTTTCTGTGTGGAACAGGGGAAGGAGGAGACATGATCCTGACCTCGGTGCCTGCCTCTGGTGTAGAGTTTAGCTGTCAGGACGTGGAAAGGCCCCAGAGCCCCACTGCAGATGTTGGTGGAAAATCAGAAGAGACGTGCTCCTAGTCAGCACTCTGCAACACCTGAGTCTGTCCCCACAACCCCTCACCTCTCATCCTTTTCCACGCTGGAAGGAAGCACTCGACTGCCCAGCCCCCCAGGCTGGAACAGGGACTTGGGGGTCTTGGGCTGGGGGACCCGGCCTGGGGTCTCACCAGGACTGTCCACCTCTGGCCTCTTGTGCAGCTGAGCCTGGGAAGAGAAGAGAGTCAGGACTTAATGGCCTTGGGTCTAGGGAAGGGCTCACTCAACAACAAGGCCAGCAACACCCTGGGGCCATATTGCCCTGGCATTCCACCTCCCCACCTTCCCATGATGCTTCATAATACTCTGGTGAGGAAATGTACAGAAAAATGCTTTTTAAAAACCTCAAGAACTTGGCAGGTTTCAAACCCACTTGCTTGGACTAGTTGAGCAAGCCCCAAGGCCACTGGTGGGTAGAAATTCCCAGCAACAGTTGCCATGACCCTCACAGGCTCCTGGGTGCTAGACATACAATCATATGGATTCCACCAGGCCTAAGTCATACAACATAGGGTCAGCTCATGATGCTGCTGTCCTGTGTCACAGAGCAAAGGCCTGAAGCTCACTAGTCACACAAGGGTTTTCACTAACTGGTATTCACACTAGGGTGTTAACCACAGGGCACTGCCCACAGCAGAGAGAGACAGGGTGTGGGCTATCCCTAGACTTCATCTGGTGGTGGAGGCACAAGCCCAGGCCTCCAGAGGCAGCCAGCAGCTCCAGGAGCTGAAGCTATGGGTGAGCACATGCAGGAGCCTCACTTGCCCAAGTGCAGCAGCTTCAAGCCATGCCCAGGGATCCAGAGGTCTGCCTGTCTCAGGAGTTCCTGGGGACAGCCACATGGGACAGAGCCTCTGCTCTCCTGTACCCTGGGCCTGTCCTATGCCTCTGGTAGCCCACCTTGTAAAACAACTTCTTCCAATGCTTTGAAAAAATACAGCCATAACACCTGTGGCCTAGCACATGCACTAAACGACATCCATGTCCCGAGGGCCTGTAAAATTGGATACAAAGGCAAACACTGACTTTGTATTCTTGTAAGAGAAGACATAGAAGGCAAAACTTCCATCTACCAGAGGAGTAACCCGCTCATGGCCCACTATTAAGAGGTTTCTGTGGCCCGCGTGGAATATCCAAAGTGGGGACATTCCCTTAATACTCCAAGGGGCTTGCCCTGATTTCCTCATCAATAAAACAGGAGCAAAGAACTGCCTTTTGAAGAACCAGGGATGAGATGGGCCCCATCATAGCCTAGTTAAGCCTATTTCATCCTAGGATGACTTGAAGTGCTGGGGGAGCTGGGTCAGGGAGGGAGGAAGCCTAGCCCTTCCTCAGGACCCTACAGTCCAGCTAGGATCTGGGTGGAACTGAAGGGTGTCACATGGGCCCAGTGTTGGCATCTCCTGTTACCCAGCACTGCAGGGTCCACACGCCTGCCTACCTTCCCTCATGAACTGGATTCATTCCTTAGGGGCCTCGGGATATTATATTGTTCACTCCTGTTTCTCAGATGTCCAGTACTGGACCTGGTACCTAAATGGATCATTTACCCATTTTACAGATGAGGAAACTGAAGCTTAGCTATGAGGCAAAACACAGCAGCAAGTTTGGGGCTGCAGAAAGACAGAAAATGGAAAAGCAACAATGGGCCACTGGTGAAATCCAAATAACTTACTAGCACTGTTAATAATCAGAGGCCTCTTTCCTGGTTTTGACAACGTGCTACGGTCATGAGAGATACAATCACTGGGGAAAGTGGAGTCAAAGGTACATAGGAACTCTCTGTACTATTGCTGCAATTTCCTCTGGGTCTTAAACTATTTCAAAAATGAGGGGAGGGAGGGTTAAGTAATGATGGATAGATTTATGATGGATAGGGAGGGAAGGGAGTGGAAGGAGGAGAGGGAAGGAGGAACACACCAACCCACAAGGTGGCTCTGATACCTTCAGGGCTGCTGGGTCCATGCCTGGAAACACAGGGATCCTCTGAGGCTGGCTGATTGGTGTCCTCTCTGTCCTGGACGTCATCTCCTCCTCATCAGATTCTTCCCTCCTGGGTGATTTCTCTTCTGTTGCAAAGAAAAGAGCACTGAAGTCACTGGAGATCTGTGGAACCCCCCATGCCAGACCCCTTATACATGGCAGGCATCTTGGTACTCCTCCCACAGCCTGCAAGAATGCTGTTCCTGGGCTATTTAGCGGGAGAGGGTGAGTCCAGGTGCCCGCCTGCTCTCTTCCTCCCAACTCTCCCAGGAGACAGGATGCTGGGCAGAGGAGGTTTTCTCCTGGAGGAGGGCATACACAGACCCACCTCCTGCTCATGCCAAGTCAGAGCAATGGAAGGAAATCCTCTGTGGGCACAGGAAAGGGGATAGAAACTTGCCCAGCTAATAACACCCCAGAATTGAGCCCTCCAAGGACAGGGTGAAGAGCTTCAAAAGCCTCCTGGGGAATGATCTACTGGATCCCATCCTCCAGGAGTGGAAGGTGAGGAATTTCGGCCTCCTAGAGTCCTGAACACTGGTGTGGGCAGTGAGGTGGGGATGGAGGGACAAACTCAGTAAGGCCTGGTCCTTGGAGCCCAGGCTAAGTAGGAACTCGGCAAGTGTGGAAGGCCCAGCCCCAGCCTCCCCCAGACCTGGGGGCCCCTAAGTCTGGTAGGAGCCAGAAGTGCTGCTGCCAGGTCTACAGTGGGGAATCTCTGCATTTCTGTGCCTACTGTGGCCCTCATGTGTTCCAGGTAACTTGGCATAGGAGGTGTGATCAAAAACACAGTAAGGTCACGTGGAAGACGCCAAATCATCCCACTGCAGACAGGCAGGTCTGCCCATACCCTACCGAGGTCCTGAGTCGCACAGAACACGCGGAACCAGCCTGCTGCACACAGGAAGGTCTGTGCATGCCCTACCGAGGTCCTGAGTTGCACGGAAGACACCGAATCACCCCGCTGCAGACAGGCAGCCACCTGGTTCCACACTACAAAGATGCAGAGGACACCAGACCAAGGTAATGAGTCCTGCTGCTCCCAGCCCAGAGGTAGGGGCTTCTGAGCCGTCATCCCACTGCTCCTGGTCCAGAGGAAGGGGTTTCCCAGCCACCATCCCTCCGGCTGCTCCCAGCCCA